CTGTGGCTACTCAGAAGGTAAATTCTGCTGTTAATAAAAAATACAGGGCCTTGACTGAAAAATACAGCACCCGTGAAATAAACTAGCACTATAAAAACAAGATTACAAAAGGAACCATGTTTATCTTGGATTTTATGCCGTAAGCATGTGAAAGTGAAAAATAGGTGACAAGTTATTGATAGAATGATGACCTTTTGAATTTGAGTGACATTTGGTGTGGTCAAATACTGTTTGTCCCTCCAGCAAGAAAAAAAAATATAAGTACATTTCCTTTAAAAAAACCTGCAAACCCTAGTCTTCTGTAGTTTTTTTCCTCAGTTATATTTCTTGTGTCATATGCACAATGATCTTGCCCCAGAGATGTAGAATAAAACTTGCATGAGTACAGCTCTAGGATGTACAACACACCTATCACTCTGATTAGTCCACTTCATTTTGATGTGAACTTTTGCTTTCTCTGCAGTCTAAATGAGTAAGTCATTTAAATTCTTCTGTGATTTTAATTACAGCAGCAACTGCAGTGAGGTAGTGCAAATGCCAGACTGCTTGCCCTTGCTTCTTAGGCTATACTGTCCTGTTTTTCCATTCGAACTTAGTTTGCTTTTGTGGTAGTTTCAATGCCATTAAAATTATGGATGGAAGGAGCATCTGTGAGAATGAAATTTTGTACAAGTGCGATAAGTGTGATTATTTTGGGTTTTTTCAGTGTGCGTTTTTTGCTAAAGCACACTGACTTAAACTTGGCCAGTGTCTTTGGTCCCTGATGGTGGGGGAAATTCTGTCCTGGTGGGAATAGGGCTTGTTGGGAGTATGAGAAAGGGAGAGGCTGATTGATGAAGGGTGCCATGGGGCACTGTGTGTTATGTTGCTATTCATAATAAAGTTTCTACAGTTTTAGTTGAAGACAAACTTATTTCTGGTTATAGAAAAGAATATGTATTCTCCATTCTGCTGTTGTCTCTTCCACTCATAAGTCAGCTTTGTTGATTACCATTCTGTCAGTACCTGCATTCTTGGAGGACACTGACTCCGTATTTCAGTCTTTGTAAAACACACATGATGATAGAGTACATGAAGCCTGAAAATTAGGCAAGCAATGCAGAGACAAAAACCGGGTGTTCTTACACACATGCAAACACCCTTCATTTGGCTTACCTTGTCTGGGAATTTTTTTCTTATTTTGGGAAGGAAGAATATATAGTTACTTAGCTATGGTAGGATGCATCTCATCCAGGAATACAGACTCTTTCTAAGAGTTTTATGGAAGGTGCTGAAGCTTGTGTGAAATAGAAGCTGATGTTTCAGATAACTCTTCATAAGAAGTGGTGGATAAATTCGTAGGAAAAAAAAAAGTAGTAAAGAAGAATGAAAATCTGCTGCTTGATACATAATCAAGGTATGCCAGCATGGTTTAGACCCAAAGTTTCATTCCAAGAATCTCGTTTTCTTGAATTGCTGTTAAATGATAGACATTCTGCATTTAAAGACAAAAGAAATAATGACATTTAATGTCTCTAATTTACAGTTGCATCATTACACAAACATGATTTCTATTTTAATTCAACAACGTAGATCTTTTGTCAATCATGTGGAACATAACTAATTGACTATAGCAGGAATTATGCTATCATTGGGTAATTATTTGGAAGGATTTGTCATTAAATGTGAATGCCTGAAATCTTTTGTGTTTTAGGATTTTTTCAGTAGAACCGTGTCAATCTGAACAACTGCATAATTTGTTTAGTCTCTAATCCTGATTTTGGTAAATATTAGCATTGTTTGGCAAATAATTTCCTTCAAAACAGAGTATCTTGTTTGTATATGGGGGGCTAAGTGATGAAGTTGGCCTATGTGTTTTTTCTAGTTCTTTAAGGAAGCATTATTCCCTAGAAAATCAGATTTGGCAATCTTAGTGTGCACATCAAGTGGTCCTGATGGAAACAAAGTAACATGCAGAACATGCTTTCATAAAGTGTACAGTTTTAAATTCTGAAATTACTTTGCCAGAAAGATGCCTGACAAAATGTCTTAGCATGGCATGCTTTGGTGTCACCCTTATTCAAAGCATGTTGAATTCTTTCCGTTGGAGGTGAGTCCATAGTGAAAAGCAACTTGCAGTGTACTAAAATGCACATAAGTACCTAAAATTTACTACTTTAAAAAAGAGATGGACTAGTTTTATCCATGATAATCAAAGTATATTAGTCTGTAATGGCAGAGAGCTAGAAGCAAATAAGAGGTATTATAAGAGATGGCAAAAAGGTCTGAGTTGGCAGTTTAAAATAGAAATAAATTTTTCACAAATGCATTTGAGAAACTAGGAGCCATTAAGAAATGATGAAGAAGATAAAATTATTAATCACAAAGATAGTAAGTGCCTTTCTTCAAATCCTATTTCTATTTAGCAGAAATAAAGCCTGTGTGTGCTGCTGCATGATAAGAGTGTAATGGATGTAAGTAAAAAAAGGAACAAATGAAACACTGCTTGGAAACTCTGCCTACAAATAAATCAACAAATCCAAACAGTTTTCACCAAGGGAACTAGCAAACTCATTTGCAGTTACAGTGACATTAACTAGAACCAGAAGAGTGTCTGAAGGCTGGAGAAGAGCATGAGCAGCTTTTAGCGGAGAACTCAAGTGCATCTTCTATTTGGTGGATTATATAATGGAATACATAATTTATGGAAATCAATAAATGTCTGGAAGGTAATGGAACAATAACCAAAAGCACTTACAGGCTTCTAGCAAATTAATCTTGCCAAACTTCCTTTGTTTTGCTTTCCTGAACAGTAGTATACCATTAAAGAGAAAGCAGCAGTGTCGTAGAGTTCAAAATACTTCAGAGTATAATAGTTCCCAATAGCAAAGTTGGATTGCTGAATACATATCAACCTTCCTTGAATTTCCATCTTCACTTAAATAAACTGACTTGACAAGTTAAATTTCTCTTTGGGATATTCTGCCATTTGGAGACAAAGTAGAATAGACCCCATGTGGATCCTGCTTAAGGAAAGAGTCTGTGACAGGAGCAGCTGGTCTTTCACAGAGCTGTATCAGTCTGTTAAAAAGTGGTAATTTTCATAAAAGGTCATAATTTCTTAGTGCCTTTTTATATGGTAGATGTTCTACTTACGGGAGGTCTGTGGAAAGATCCAATCTGAGCACTTAATGTATTGTTTCTAGGTCATAGAATCATATAATGGTTTGGGTTGGAAAGGACCTTAAAGATCATTTAGTTCTACCTCTGGTTTACTTCTGCAAAGGTGCGAGAGAAAGTTTTTATATGTTTGATTTGTTTCTTCTAAAGTGTGTGCAGGAAATGAGTATTTGAGTTACATCACACATTCAGTCAAAACATATCTTGTTTAAGAATAATGCTAAATTTCTGTGCAATTTCCCTTTTATTGGAAAGCAGCAGCTTTAACAGGCTTATTAGGTATAATAAGTGTCAGCAAAGGGATGTTGATTGTCAAAAGGGAACTTGGAGATGGGTCATATGTTGATTTTTTTTTTTCTAATTTTTTTTTTTTTTTAACAGAAAGCCACCCAGGTTTTTCTAGGAGAGAGAGAGGGGGGAAAGCTGAGATTCGTACTAGTTCTCTGTTGAATAAAAATAGTACAATATTCCATATAATGGAATACTTCTACAAAAGAAGTAAATGAGCCTTGTAAATCTGTACCTAGCTAGCTACATTATCTGCAGCTTTCTGTTAGTGATCCTTAATTCCTGTAGTTCTTTATTTAGGGAACATGAAACTCCTTCAGCTTTGAAGCATTCAGTAGATTTGGTAAATGAGTACTTTTCATTTTAGGCACTGCATGTGGCATACTTATTTTTCAGAGTTTGCTATCTTGCTGTTGCCTGTACTGCCAATCATTCTGGGGTTTGTGTTTCTCTGTGTTGCTGGCTTTGACTCTGTAGTATTAGAATTATTTAGCAAGCGATAATAGCTGTTAAGTCACAGCTGAATATGCCTGCCTATTGGATTTAGTTTTCCCACAGCAAGACTTCATGGCCTGGTATGCTGAAATATGAGGTTGCATACAGATTCCTTGCTGAGGACAAGAATAATGAACCTCAAAACACATCCTGTTGCTATTAGCTTTTCAAGTGGATTGAGCTATTCATTGGAAAAAGAGTGTGCTACAGCAATTAAGTTCATCCCTATGCTCAGTTGGCTTGCCATTTCCGAAAATTAGATGGACGTCTGTTTTGCAAAGAGGCTAATGTTTTGTTGATGGTAGAAATTATTAACTAAGACTGAAGCTGGAAACATGCAAGGAATGGAGATTTGGGACAGGGTATGAGGCTGTAAAGGAATTCTTTAACATTGATAATAAGTAGCTTCAGACTGTTTCACACACTGAACTGGTTAAAACACTCTTAGTGGCAAACAGGAAAGCAGAAAACCATTGGCTTTAACACTGTGCTGCTTGTTTTATGTGTAGGTAGAACCTCACTGTTGAGGCAGTGGTGGTCAGTGAAAGAATTTACTCATTTTAAAATAGTTTTATAAACACTCTGCATCAAGACCACTTTTCAGCATTTAACATTTGCTGGATACTTTGTCTCTTAAATTAAAGTCTTAGTATACATATGATCTAAGGTTGGGAATGTTAAGTCCAAGTGACTTAACATTCTGTTGTTCTTACAGGAAAAGGTACATATGACTCGGACTATATTGAGCTATTAGAGTCAATATGGCAGAGTGTCTTTTGAGGATGAAAAGGAAAATATTAATCAGAGGACTTTGTTTTATCCTTTAAACTGCCAAAGGAATTTTCAGCTTAAGTATATTTTTTTATTACTTTTCCCAAAATACCGCCATAAAAATACAATGGAGTCTCTCCAGTCTGCGTGCTTTGGGAGAGCAGTGTTTTCAAGGAAATACACACTACAAAAGCATGGTTGTCAATACCAGAGGTATTCTTTGGGTATAGGAGCTGGATAGTTCTGTTCTTCATTACATTTTAATGTAATAACTGACTGTTTTTCAGGAACTCCAGGAAAGAACTTAATGACATACGGTTTGAGTTTACTCCAGGCAGAGGTAAGGCTCCTGCAATTGAATTATTCTCTTACTGCTTAAAAAGGTATTTTGGAAATTGATTGCTGCTTGTGGTTAATACAGACTGCTTCTCTGGAATGTTTCCTACTGTGCAGAGCTTTATATGGAACCTCACTTGAGTAAGAATTGCAGATGTATCTAAATTCTACTGGCAAGGTTGCATAATATATATATTAGAAGGCTTGATTTGCAGTATCCTTTTACCAATTTCATGTCTTATTGAAATGATCTATGTGGTATATAAGATTGCACATAGCAATATTTACAGCTTTTGAATTTCCATTTTCACACTTGGAAGACATCATAGGAAATGGAATATAGTAGCCATAAAAGCGTATGTGGTGATGGTGGTAATGTTTAAGTTTCCTTCCCTTTTGTAATAAAAGAAAGTCTTTTAATGAGTATAAAGTTCACAGCATTTTTCAGATGCTGTCTTCAACAGAAAGTTCAGCTGTATCTCTAGCTTTGTTATTATCACCAGAAAGAAATTCTGATATTGAAACTTTAAATTCTGCTGTGCGCTTGTAGAACTGTTTAGGCTTTCTAGTTCTAAGAGTTTTAAGAACTTCTACAGTTACCTTTGTTTGAAGAAAACCAAGTATTACTAGGATAAAATGCATAGTAGGCTAATATGTTGAGTAAGAAGGTATCATCCTTGTTAAATTACAACCCTTTGAACTATGAACACGTTTCATATTCCTCAGAAGTATTCACTGTATTTAGAATAGCCTTCAAAGAGTTTTCACCTAAAAATGAATCCAGATTGGAAGAGGTCTCTTTTCTGGTAAATCCCAGTATCTATCATGTGCAGTAGTTCTGTGCATGGATATATTCTGTGTTCTCTACCTGCCTTTCTCATTGATTTTTGGCAACGAGTAATAACGAAAGAGACCAGTTACTTAATTGGGCAGAGAGTGTCTTGGTTTGTGAAAAGAATTACTTGGGAAGCAGTTACATAAGCCGTTTGAGAATTCTTACTTGGTTGAACAGTAAGAGGGTATACCAGGACTGTTCCTAGTCAGTCACTGAGGCAGCCAGAAGGTTGCTGTGGTTCTCATCTCCAGAAACTGCAGCTAGCTCAGCTATGTTGATTTTCACCTGTGTGTGTTTCTTGAGGAAATGATGCAACTACGTGTAACTGCCTCAAAGCATGGGCTCCATACAGATGTTTGGTGTTGGGGACACATTACAGTTGAGATTTAGCTGGAATTTAGCTTGTTCCTACTGTTTCTGCCTCCTTCCCTTTAAGCTTCCTAAAGTCTTTATCCAGGAACAAGTACTAGTGACAGGGGCTTAGGAATTAACCCACTCAGGTACAGGATTTAATAGAAAATCATCCAAAGCTTTGAATGTCCTGAGTCATAATACTTAAAAGCTATTTTAAACCTAAAGCTCAAAATAATAACTGTTCAACTGTGCCTCACTGGTAACAAACAAGAAAGGCTACTCAGCATATCTCTGTCTAGATATGCAGAACAGTGGAGGGGATGAAGAAAACAATGAAAACCACTCTAAAGCATTGTTTATTTTCTTGGTTGTGAAGATACTGAACTTGTAAAATGTGTAGAGTATGTAGTTAGATAATAAAGGAAAAATGCTAGTGGCCAGGGGAGGTCTGTAGGGAGTTTGCAATGAATCAAATCATCAGCTCATGCAATTTGCTGTGCAGAGGCTGATAAGATAATTATCTTTTTTCCTCCTAATTAAAGATAATTTTGAATTCAAGCCTGCCTCCATGGGTGTTTTGGAACTAGAATATATTTTTGTTAAATTGCATTGGATGACTGATACTTTTTGTTGTTTTTGTGGCTCTCATACCTATTCATTTCACCTTTTGCACAGACACAGCAGATGGCGTTTCCCAGGAGCTGTTCTCTGCAGGCCTGGTTGATGGCCATGATGTAGTTATAGGTAAATTACATTTTTGTTTTGCTATTACGCTCTTGTGACAAGTTTATGTTAAATGGATGTGAAAAAATGTTTTCTCTGATGCTTGGTTTTCACAAAATCCTTTTTTGTCCTAATTTTGCTTTTATGTATGCATAGTTCAGTCAAAAAGACAATTTTGATACCAGTCCAAGGATTGCTTTTGGAAGTCAGAACTCTTCAGTGGTTTGAGAGGGATGATATAATATAGTTCTCCTGAAGGATTATTTACAGTTTAATGATTGATCATTTTTGTGATAACTTCATTTTTTGGTTTAAAAATAAGATGTTTTTCAGTAGGATTTTGCAAAGTGTGCTTTGGCAGCTCTGAAATTAGTAAGCAATCTGTTTGGGTTCATAGAAATAGAAGCAGGACAGAGTTCAGGACCTATGGAAATTGCACTTAGAGATATTTTTTCTGTGGTAAACAAAAAGGTAATCGGAAATGTTTTCTGGCTGCTGAGAAGAAAGATAGTTCTCTCTTTTTCTGTTCTGTGCTTCAGTAATTTTTTAAGTTTGTTTTTTTTTTACTTGAAATTCAGTGCGTTGCAGAGATGATTAATTTGGAAGTGCTTATTTCCCTGCACCTCTTTCCTTTCTTCTAGTTGCTCAAGACTGGTAGATGTACAGTTGCCAATATCAGAGGGGGGCTAGTATATGCTAAATGTGAGAGTAATAATTGGAAGAATAGAGGCAAGTCAATTTTTGTGTTGCAGTCAAAGAAGTTCATATCAGTTGGTTAAGAGATCCTTAACCAAACTCCTAAGTGGTATGAAGAGTGTTTTTCAACTCCGTAATGTAACAGTGATATATAGTTCCCAATTAATCACAGCATTAAAGCATTTGAAATTGAAACAGCTCTCTTACAGCATCACATCTGCTGAAGGTACTTTCATACTAAAATGGAACCATGATAAAGCAAGAAGTCCAGTTTATTAGTACGTTGTTCTTAACAACATCTTAGTTTATAGTGACACTGATAATCCAGTTCCTAGAGAAGCCACAGTATTACACGGTAAATATCCTTTTGCTTTCCTTGGTTTTGCTCTGCCTTTGCTTATTCCTGGTTTTATTTTGTCTTGTTAGATTAATCGTCTTTGAAACTGAATAAAGTGATGGCTTTTGTTCAACTAATTCCAACTCACTGTAATCAGAAAATGGGATAGAGCTGCATGAGTACCAAATATACTGCATTTATTTATGTGCTCAAAGAGCACTGTATTCTAAGGCATTTTGTAGAAAGTTTTGTGCCTTCAACAAGTGCACTTAACTCAGTATTTCCAGCAAGATACGCAAATGTATTACAGGTGGAAGAGTATCTCTAACTCCTCAGGGTTTAACTAAGGACTTAAATATTTCAACACATCTGGCTCATTTAGAGCTAATGCACTGAATGGTGACTCATAATGACTAGACTGCCAGGAGTTCCGGAGGCTTGAGGGACATCCGCAGGTAATGAAGTTTTGCATCAATTGCACCTAAGTTATTTTAGCTATATCTGTTGTATGAAAAAGGTGCAATTGAGAAAGTGTATTGTGTGAAACTAGCAGGTTTCACAAAAGTCCCCACCCTGCAGAATTTTTGGTGTGGTGGAAACTTAGAGGTACAAGGTGGAAAAAAAAACTGTGTTAGGTGAATAATCACCGCTGCTGTGGTTGTGGCAGAACTATAAATACATGATATAAGAAATTCTCCAAGTGTGCAAATTATTCTTCATGCATGCGTATATGTATCATAGTGCATGTACTTGTCTTATAGCCATGATAAAGTAAATAATAATTTTGAGTTACTTTAAAGAAAAAAAAAAGAAAAAAGTAGAATTGGCAATTGCCTTCAAACAAAGCTCCTTTTTTCAGCATGCAGTCCACCAGTTCCTACTTAATTATGTAAATGAGGAATAAATCTCTGTGGTTACTAGTGGGATTAGTTTGAGTTTTGCCTGATAGAGAAGTGATAAACTCTTGGGCCTAGAGTGTGTTCTCTGCCCTCGTGGATCTGAATCATAGTTTTGAGGACTTTCCTTTCTGGTTACGATGGAAAAAATCCCACAACTGTAAATTTGAATCAGAAATTGCAAAAGCAGCAATGTAAGGAATGTTCCTATTTTTAATAGTAATTTAGTTGCTGTTATTTATTTCCTTGGCATTCACTTCTCTGCCAGTGGTTAGTATGTCAAAATAAGGATTTATTGAGATTCTACAAATTAGAGATATTCTATTTCAGAACCTAACTTCAGCACATCGGGGAGGCTTTTCCAAATATATTTTTCCTTGTTTCAAGTTTCAGATAAAAGGTATTGAAGTAGCCTGGCTGCTATTTCATCTTCTTAATAGTTTTGTCAGAACAATATCTATAATTCATCGCTGAATTTGGGACAGGAGGACTTGTGAAGATCTGATGGGGAGAAAAGACTACCAAGTAATAATACGCATAGCAGAATGTGACCAGCCTTATTTCTGCACAGACCTGTATTTCAAATCTAGTCCAGTGTGATGGAGATATTTGTTAGAGCTGTCTTCAGCATCTTGACGACTATCAAACTGTTGTTAAAACCTGTGTCTGAAAGCCAGCACTTGCTTTCTACATTCAGTCACAGGCAAATGATTTTTTTCAACCTTGTACTCTGACTCATTCTTTTGTATAGAGAATTTATGAGCACAATTCACTGTAATATCTCAGGCTCATTAAATATCCCTACTAGCAGTGATTGGCAGCAGGTCTAAATTTTATTTTAAATGTTCATTTGAGACTAGACTGAGGTTCAGAATGCTCAGGATCATCAAAATGAAGGGGAAATTATGAAATCTGTATATACTCATCCCACATCTTCCTGGATAGTCTTCCCCATTAGAATCAAGGTCTGAAATAGCTAAGCATTTAGGTATCCAAATATATTCCACTTACCTTTTTATAAACATTGTTTATAAACCTTGTTTTAAACATGCAGTGGTTTGCCTAAGTGTTCTTCTCACCTTCTGGGGGAAAAACTCAATTTGAAATACCAACCACCTATTTTTTTATAAATTTCTGGGAAAAGGTATAATTTGCCAGTTATATTAATATTTTAATTAATCAGTAAAACCAGTTACCACAATTTCAGTCTTTTTCCTTTTTTTTCCTCGATGACTGTAGAATGTAAAACACTACCTTGGGATCAGATATCCATACTAAGTAATTGAGAATTTAGTAGTTTAATAATGTGTTATTGGAATTGAAATAGATAGATTTCTAGCACTAACTTATTTCACTTTCTTTTTTGATACAGTGTTCCTGTTTAGTAAAAATATACTGCTTCTGTTGGGTGGGAATTTTCCCATCAGCTAGCTAAAGAAAAGTTAAATCTTGCGTATTATTTTATCATGGGTTACTAATACCCCATGTTAAAGAATCTTAATGTGAAGACATTTGAGGTCTATTATTATTCCATAAACTCGTAGTATTTTTTTTTTTCAATTTGAGCAAGGGTAATTATTTATGGTAATTATCTACGGTCAGTAGATGTCAATCAGGAATATATGACCCTGATGTCTCTTCCATGCCTTTGAGTAACCTAGTGGAACTGGTTAGTTATTAAAGCTTTGGTCCCAACCACCCCTCCTGGGGTTTTTTGGTTGGTTGGTTGGTTTTGTTTTTGGTGTTTTTTTTGTTTTGGTTTGGTTTTTTGTTTGTTTTTGTTTTTGTTTGTTTGTTTGTTTGTTTTTGTTTTTTCCTTTTGGAAAAAGATAGCCTGATACCAAAAAGCTAGTTAGTGTCCTTGATGTCTAAAAAGACATGAACTAGGCTAAACCTTGGTTGTCTGTATAGAACAATGAATTAATAACCAAGGGAAATCAGCATAGATTTTGGTACTCTTTAGGGATAGCACAGCATGCACCTACGAGTATTCTGTGCATAATTTGAAGCATTGTTTGCCACTTTCCATTACTATTGCGGTATGTTGGGCCATCCTTTGGGAGATGAGGATGGTTTTACTTGGTACTGTTCTTCCTCATGCCCTGTATTTTACACAGGCATGGAACTGCACACATTGCTGGGTTTACCGTGTTCACGCTACTGGGGCTCAGAACTCCTATGAACTACAGGGTACTAGTGGTTTTAATAATTGTTTTAAGCTGTGGAAACTGCACTGTGAAATTGTAGTCAATTCACTACATCAATTCACTAGGATGCTCTAGGAGACCATTTTCAGTCTTTCTTTCTGTTCCTTTCAAAATACAACTGCTTTGGCCTTCTGTTGTCCTGTAGCTGCCCTCTTTAAGCTGTGTTTTCTGATTGTAAGGCTGCAAATCAAGCTGTTGGATATTATTATAGTATCAAATGTTGAAATGGAGATATTTTCCACTGTCTTTTATCTATATCTACTGATTCAGCAATGTACTTGGAGAATTTAGACAAATTTGTGAGCCTTTGCTAAATTCCTAATGACAGCCTCTTCATAAATAATACATTTCTAAGTGTTTTTAATGTTTCTGCCTTATCTTGTCCAGTATCTTCCTCAGAAGAGAAGCCAGGCTTGCTGTTGATCTTTCTATTTTCTTTTATTTCTTTCTTATAAGACTCATGTCTAGGTCCTTGCAGTTGTCTGTCAATAAACACTTGTTACTTAGCTGCCACAGATTTCCAAGTGCCTTAATATTTCCCTTGCTACTGTTCTCAAGGAACATAAACAAAAGGGATTTTATGACTAGCATCCTGAATGGGTGAACTAGTCAAATCACACTACACTTAAATGACGTTTTTGATCTCTCTTTGAAAAGCCCTTAATGTTTCAGGCAGATAATTTGTGAGCTATTAGATGGTAATAAGACAGACAGAGATCTTGGAGGAATTGGTACCAAGTGCTCTAAAGGCTGATGGGTTTGATTTTTTGCATAGTATACTATAGTATATATAACCCCATGCTAGCTATGTTTTAAAACTTAGTTTTGATTTTGTTCTGAACTTGCAAATGCACAAAAACCAGTGTGTAGTATGAAATATAAATG